AGTATCTTAGTGATCATTCTCCAAATGTAAGAACTCGGTCTGAAGTGGATGGTGTATACAAAAAATTGACAACATTTGAATTTGTATTTATCTTGCATTTAATGCGTAGAATATTAGTAATTGTTGATGTGCTTTGTTAGGCCCTTCAGAAGAAAACTCAAGGCATCTTAACTGCTATGAGATTTGTCTATACTATAAAAACTATCCTTCAAGCATTAAGAGAAGATGGCTGGGAAGAATTTCTTGAAGAGGTGAATTGTTTTTGTTCAAAAAATGATATACATATACCTCACTTTCATAGCTCATACATGGTTGGTCGTTCTCGTGGTCATGAGTATCCTACCATCGAACATCATTACTACTTCGATATTTTTAATGCAGCCATAGATTTTCTAATGACGGAGTTAGATACAAGATTTAGTGAGACATCATTAGAACTTCTTTCTCTCGGTGTGGCATTGGATTCGAAAAATTCTTTTGAATCATTTAACATGAATAATATTTGCAAGCTTGCAGAGAAATTTTATCCTCAAGATTTTACACAGCAAGATATTTATAGTTTGAAAGTTGAGTTGCAACATTATCAGCATGATGTGATTTCTGAGCCTCGATTTCAAGTATCTACACTTTCTGATTTATGTCAAGAATTGGTTGCAAGTAGAAGATTGGAGAGTTACGTCAATTTGACTAAATTGATTCGTCTAGTATTGTCGCTGCCTATTTCAACGGCTACCGTAGAGCGAGCATTTTCTGCAAAGAAACATGTGAAGTCGGAAATTTGTAACAAAATGGATGATGGCTTTCTTGTTGATTGTATGACACTTTACATTGAATGAGAATTTTCTTTGAATGTAGATTTAGATTCTATTATTGATGAATTTTATGCTATAAAGCATCATCGGGTATAACTGTAACTGATAATATTATATTATGACTTTTTTTGTTATTTATGAATTTTATTCGTACATAGAATTTCTAAAGTTTTGTCCCCCGTAACATTAATTCCTGGCTCCGTCCCTGATAACCAATTACTGTTTGACCAGTTATTTTAAATTCGTATACATATTTTTAGATTTTAATTACTAAAATATTTAAATATAAAATGAATAATTCAAGAAGTAAAGCATTAAAACTTGGAACTTACTAAATATGATCATTTTGAAGTACAAAGGGAGAGAAGGTTTAACCCTTCAAATATGAAGAGTGAAATCAAACTTTTATTTCAAAAAGTTAAATTAAAGTGTTTGTTGAATCTTATTTCGAATGATCGTCACTTTAAAATAAAATGCATTTTACTTTTGAAATGTCTTTTGTTTATGTTCTTAGTAAATAAATACTGTTCCTTATAATACAAAACTGTCCCAATGCCTAAATAATATGAACTTTTGTTTGCTATCAATATAGCTTACAACACAGTAGCTCAAGTTTATGTTTCAAAATATAATATTGTGAGGAAAACTCCAACCGATGCATCTGTCTGTGATGAATCAAGAAAACAAAGAAGACAAGTTTGTTGTTCATGACTACCCCATTACATGTGACTATCAGCTTTATCTGTTAATTGATTCTTGTTTTAACGCGGTTCTCGATACCCAATGCTTGAACCCACAAACCATAAAAATTGATTCCCACGTCTTCACTTTAGAGATAAAAATAAACAATGGACTAACATTTTTGTTATTGGGATGATTATTTTATTCGAAGTCCTTGATAATAAGGTCAAAGAAGTAGGTATGACAAGAAAGGAGACAATGGGATTGCAAATTAAACAAAATCATTTCATCTGGTCAGTCCAACATGCAAGCCACAACACATCAGTCACATGTAGGAATGTCGCTAATCATTAAAGATTTACCCATTAGGATTTCATTTGACCATACCTACCACGAATAATCACTTCTTCTTCTTCTTTTTTTCCCGCCTTTCAAAAAGATTAACAGCCTATTATGATTTGACATCATTATGGAAATAGTGTGATCTAAACTTTCTTTCTTTTTTTTTCTTTTTTTTTTAACGAGGTGTCCTAACTTGCGCCAGACATATCCTCGTCCCTGAACCTCCGGCCCCTCAGCTGTTCAGGGAGGTAAATCGCAGGATGTGTCCTTGTTGGTTCCCAAATTCCCACATGGCTTTTACTCCTTCCCCAAAGGGAGCCTCCTCCATGGTGATTAATCCACCAATAATTCCTCCTTTTATTGGATCAAAGGTTCCCACCAGGAATCGAACTCCCCACGCTTGGTTTCAGAGCCCCCCAATGTGATTGTTCCACCAACTTGGATGTACCCTAGGGGGCATCTAAACTTCATATTTATCTTATATTTACACAAGCCTTGAACAAATTAATAAGAAGCTCGGACACATACATGTGCATGACATAATATAAATATATAGACATACAAGGATGTTAAATGGGGTGAGATGAGCTGGTCACATGTAACTCACTGTTCTTTTTTTATTTTTATTTTTTTAAGATGAAAATTGTAATTTATATCTGAAATTCGAGTCGCTTGCGAGCCTCAGCAATTATTTGTTATATAATTAACTTTAAATTAAATTTTATTTTACAAAAAATGCTTAAACAAGTTTGACATGAAGTTTGTGAAGGGTACTTTCATTATTTCAACTTTATTAAATAGATATTCTAATAATTAAAATTTTCTAAACTGTCTAAAAAGTGTCAATGTCCGACACGACACGAATAACAAGTGTCAGTCTTAATACGAGTATGCGTGCTTTATAGGCCTATAATTGAATTTCGACCTCTTACGTATATAATATTGAAAAATACTGAACAATACATAAAATTTCATACAAGTTCTTTTTTATTTTATATCAATATTGTTCTATTGTGTATAATTCAATATTATGATGTTTGTATTTCCCAATAGACCATGATAATCATTCGTGTTGAAGCTTCTGAGTCATGTTTTAATAGGGATTGTATACGGGGTGCAGGGACGGGTATTCCGTTACCATCCCCGCCTTGTCAAAAATTTCAAGGGGACGCAGGTCCAGTTATCTTTGCGTTAAATTATTTTTATAAAAGAGCAAGATTTAAATTGAAAAATTATAAAACAAATAAATAGATTTGAGTATGTTGGGGAAATTCGAGATGTGGACCATGTACTCGATTTCCGTCCCTTTTACTATTGGAATTGGGGCAAGAACGGAGAATTTTGCTATCCCTGTATCCTAACAGTTATATTTTGTTTACCATTTTGACTGCAATTTGAAAATTCATCAATTCTTAAGGTGTTAATCTTTTACAGAATTATAGCTCTCCTCCTCCACAGATAGAGGTGTAGATTATTGATTGTTAGTTTGATGCCCATTCTTCGAGTAATGTTCTGTAAAATCACATTATGAATTTACGTTCGTTTATTTGCGTGTTATAATTTGAAGTGATTGTCCAAGGTTCCATGATCATATAGGATGTCACAAATTATATACACGATGAATCGAGTATAGTAAGACACAATTTGTGATATGATTAAAATTATGTCGTTCACAATCAGTTCATAAAGTTGGACGATTTATATTGATAAGATTGTATTGTTCTTATTAAGATTTGTCTAGATCTTGAAATAGCAACAATAATGTGTTTCGATGCACATTAAATGGGACCGCGTAGATTACTCATTTGTGACCGTTTGAAATGAGACTCTACTTGATTATCAAACAGATCGCCTAAATCCTGAGTGAGTAATGTACCTTTGATTGCTAGTTCAAGTTCTTTGAGGTACCAATGAGTGAAGTCTTAAATGGAAGATTGATCTCAATGCTTTGGAAATCGGACTGAAACAATTAGAGATCATATATTTACAATATTGGAATTCATTAATCATTGAGATGAGACGATCGTCACTCTAAAGTATTTTCCTAGGCAAATTTAATCTGAGCTCAGTAGGTCGACAATGAGATCATTGGACTTTACATTGTGATTTGATCACAACGAATTTGCCGTATGAAAATGGGACTTAGAGGGTAATACATGTTGAAGGGTAAAACGGTCATTTTACCAGTTTCAACATATTGACGGTCAAATGGGGTTGACTTGTGGAACGATAATCAGAGGATATTGTTATTGAATCATAATTTGCTTCTATAACTATCACTCGACTCGAGAGTGCAATCTCGATTTTTTGGTAGAATAAGTCAGGATTAATAGATGTATCTCAATTGGTCAAGAGTTGACCTAATTGAAAATATCTATTGGAGCTTGGGTCATGTGAGTCCAATTAGGTCCCTCTTTCGGCTCCAATAAAAGATGTGACTTAATTGGACTGCTACAATAAAGTTTAAGGAAATTTGTACAATTTTCAAATCCTAATAGGTCATTATAAATATGCACTTTATTGGCATATTTTAAATGAGATTTTAGGGTTAGCCATTTTCACATTCTCCAAAAAGGAATTACACCTAGTGGAGAACAAGGGAGAAGATCTAAGGAATGAAGCAATTGGCGAGGCCATTAATAGTTCCTTCAAAAAGGTTATCATCTCGCCTTTCTATATATGTGAGGATTTTATAATCAAATGATCTCAAGGACAATTAAATTCTTATTTACATGATTTTAATCTTTAAAGGAAAATTAATTTCCTATTATGATGATTAAAATTCATTAACCAACAAATGGTATCAGAACCAAGGTTATTGTATGCCTTGAGTATGATTAATTTTTATTTTTTTTTAAACCCTAGTGTAATATGCATTTTAGTTGGGTGGTGTTAGTTTATTTGATTTTGACATGTTTATACTTTAAATATGTTTAAAGTTATTGTTTATACACTCATAATCACTTTTGGCCCTAGAATTTCTTTTTACTTCCTATTGTAATTCATTTATTATAGTTATTCTCTAGAAATTTTGTAAGCCATAAGGCATTAAGTTTTTTATATTTTTTTTCTTCATTTTCATTTTTGTATTTTGAGGAAGAAATGTAAACTTGATGCTGTAATTTCAATGGAGAAGAAGGAAGAGCAAACGCAAGAAATAAAACAAAAAAAAACCAAGAAATAAAACCGATCGGAGCAGCCTGCAATGGCAGCAAGCTGCTGCCTTGCGAGGCAACAACAGGGCGCCGGAGGTCTGGCGGCGGCGCAAATGGCAGCCTATTTTGGGTCGCCGGAGTAGTGTATGTTTTTAGTGGAAGTGTGTTTTCTTGTTAGGGTTTGAAAATTATGGTAATTTGGATTTTTTGGGCGTTTCTTTAATTCTTGGGCCAATGTTGTTGGATAATGGCATTTGTTGGTTTTGGGCCTAAAAATTAAATTAACCCTATTTTCATGTTACATGAGGTGGACTACAAAAAAAATTGAAGAATTGGGCCGAGATGTGGCCCAGTGTAATTCTTTTTATCCTTGTTGTAATTTAAATTCTTAGGATGGACCATTAGTGATTATTATTCATTTAATTATCACTTTTACGTCTTTATGGATGAATGAATGTTTAATTATTATCGCATGTCATGTATATTAAATTAAACACCACCCGGTGCACTAAAATCATATGCATTTACATTTAAATATTTTTTTTACCACTCTAAATTAATTAGAGGTGGTTGAAAAATATTTTATAATTAGCACCATTATAATTGTTTATATTTGGCGGACTAATTAAGTGAAAATCCAACGGTGCAAAATATTAAATGGGAGAGGGTTTATAGGCATGTATAAACCTACGGCCTCCTCCGTCATCCAATTTGTTATTAAAATACGTATGTTTAGTATCGAATTATATCGGTCTCCCTATAGAAAAACTACATTATTTTAGATTAATTAAAATTGGATCTAGTAATAGAATTTCTTTAAAAATGAAATAATGGAATGATCATCCCATAGACGGCACCTTATATATTTCGAATATTTTAAAATTATTGACGGATGTTATTACACTTATGTACGAATATTTTGGGGGACTTCCTATAGAAGATTTCAATAAAATTATTCATAGGCCAAATTATAATTAATCCTCATTTTTTGTGGCATGAGATGCCTAGCTCAATAAAATGAGTGGGAGGATCCCAACCTTACCAACAACTACATCGACCTCCTATAGAGAGCGTGATAAAAGTTGTAAGGGTTTAAGGTTTTTTATTACAAATATAATTTTGGGTCTATATTTGCATATTCATATACATGCATCATACAAAAATTATTGCTCATTTTATTAATACGCGAATCGTTAATTTTACAGAAAATGTTGCTTAATCCATTATCAGTAATACTTAACAAAAATCAACTTGTGGGAGAAAACTGCGTTGACTGGAAAAGGAATCTTAATATTGTTCTTACCGCTGAAAAACACAAATTTATGCTGGATGAAGTTTGTCCCGAAACCCCTAAAGATGACTCCATAGAATCTCAAAAGGCTGCATATGAAAAGTGGCATCATTCTGATGAGATGGCCCGTTGTTACATTTTGGCATCCATGTCAAATGTGTTACAACGGAAACATCAAAATATGCAAATTGCTTTTGACATAATGAAAAGCCTTCAAGAGATGTTTGGACAACAAAGCCGACAAGCTAGGCAAGCCTCCATTAGGGTAATTATGAACACACGCATGAAATTGGGTGCATTTGTAAAGAACCATATGTTAACCATGATTGGTCACTTCAATGATGCAGAGGTTTTAGGAGTTGACATTGATTCCGAGACGTAGATTGACATGGTCCTTGAGACTCTTCCTGAGATATTCTCACAATTTATAGTTGATTATAATCTACACAAGATGGACATGTCTCTGATGGAATTAATGAATGAGCTACAAAATGTTGAATCCGTTCTAAAAGTTAGGAGTGGAAATGCTTTGACTGTTATAGTCGAACCCTCTCATCCTAAGTCTTCTGGTGGCAAAGGAGAAAAGAAGAGGAAGATGCCAAACAAAAAGTCAGATAGCAAGTGAAAGGGGAGGAAAACTATTGCCGATGGAAAAACAAAGGGAAAGTATTTTATTTGTGGACAAAATGGTCACTGGAAGAGGAACTGCCTAGATTACCTAGCTAAGGGGAAGCAATGTAAAGGCAATAATGCCCTATTCATTGAGTCATGTTTAGTGGTTGATTCTACTAATACGTGGATTGTAGATTCTAGAGCCACTAATCATGTTTGCAATTATTTGCAGGGGTTCCGGGAAACCAAGCATCTCGGTGTAGGGGAGTACACTCTTAGGGTTCGCATAGGAGCAGTGGTATTTGCCAAAGCTATTGGCACTTTTACTTTATGTTTTGAGAATCGTAGGCATTTGGTGTTAGATGACTATTATTATGTTCCCGAACTTATACGGAACTTGGTTTCCATTGCACTTTTATATCATGTTGATTATTCGGTACTTTTTACCCATTCTACCGTGGTTATTAAGTTGAATAATTCTGTTATATGTTCAGGTCATATGGTTAATAGTCTTTATGTCTTAAGTCCTTTGATTGGCTCTATACATAACACTACTACTGCTAAGAAAAGAAAGAGATCGTCTAGTACTAATGAAACTCTCTTATGGCATCTTAGATTGGGTCATATCAATCTAAATAGGATTCAAAGATTGGTAAATGATGGTCTTTTAAATGAGTTAGAGGTGAAATCTATACCAACTTGTGAATCTTGTATAGAAGAAAAGATGACCAAGAGGCCTTTTAAGGCTAAGGGACTAAGGGCTAAAGAGGTTTTGAAATTAGTACATTCCGATGTTTGTGGACCTATTAGTACTCGGGCTAGAGGAAGATACGAGTACTTCATCACCTTCACAGATGATTACTCTAGATTTGGATACATATACCTTACGTCTCACAGATCTGAAGCTTTGGAGAAATTCAAGGAGTTTCAAATGGAAGTTGAGAAACAATTAGGAAAGAGTATCAAGGCCCTTTATCTGATCGAGGTAGCGAGTATCTATCCCAAAAGTTTAAGGTCTATTTATCGAATAACGGGATATTATCCCAATTGAGTACACCAAGAACTCCCCAACAGGATGGTGTCTCGGAAAGAAGAAATCGAACTCTTTTAGATATGGTAAGATCAATGATGAGTTATTCCTCATTGCCTATATCCTTTTGGAAATATGCACTACAAACAGCCATTTATATCTTGAATTTGGTACCACCTAAGTCAGTTCCCAAGACACCTCTTGAATTGTGGAATGGGCGCAAGCCCAATTTACACCACATTCGGATATGGGGATGTCCAACACAAGTGTGCTAAAGGGAAAGACGGATAAGATAGAATCAAGATCATATGTTTGTTTATTTGTAGGATATCTAAAGGGAACGAGAGGCTACTACTTCTATAATCCTCTTGATAAGAAGGTATTTGTTAGCACAAATGCAACCTTCTTAGAGGATAAGTATATAGAAGAACACAAGTCTACTACTAAGATTCTATTGGAAGAGATGTTAGAACATGGTTCAAACAACTCAGTTCCATATTTTCGCATAGAATCTAATAGTGATGACTTGGAACCTCCTACTGAACCAATGGTTGCTGATGAAGCAAGTGAGCAAGTGATGCCCACAGGGCCTCATAGGGAAATAGAACCAGAGGTAGTAGAAAATGAGGCATCCATTGTTGAATCTCCACATGTCCCTACAAATGGGGATAATGAGCATGTTGTTCCTGAAGGGCAGGATCAAACAGTGGGAAGAGAGGAAGAACCTTTGGTCAGACTGGACAATTAGGCACCTTCAACTATTACTCGTAGTGGGAGGGTTGTGAGACCACCTTCTAGGTACTTGCTCTATGGAGAATCTTATCAGGCGATCTCTACTGAGCAAGAAGAAGATCCCACTTCGTTTAAGAAAGTAATGGAGGATGTAGACTTTGAATCATGGAATTAGCCATGAACTCAAAAATGGAATCTATGTATTCCAACAAGGTTTGGGATCTTGTAAATGCACCTAATGGGATAAAGCCTATAGGATGCAAGTGGGTCTATAAAAGGAAAAGAGGTATAGATGAAAAGATTGAAACCTTCAAAGCAAGGCTAGTGACCAAGGGTTTTACCCAAAGAGAAGGCATCGACTATGAAGAAACCTTCTCACCGGTTGCCAAGCTTAAATCTATTCGAGTCCTTTTATCCATTGCTACTCATTATGATTATGGGGTTTGGCAAATGGATGTCAAGACAGCATTTTTAAGTGGACGTCTTGAGGAGACCATTTACGTGATGCAACCTGAAGGGTTTGTGAAAGAAGGCCATGAAAGGAAAGTTTGCAAGTTGTAGAAGTCCATTTATGGACTCAACCAGGTGTCTAGATCTTGGAATGTAAGATTTGATCAAACCATCAAGACCTATGGTTTTGAGCAAAATCAGGATGAACCTTGTGTGTACAAACGAATACAAGGGAAGAAAGTAGTTTTTCTGATTTTTTATGTAGATAACATTCTACTCATTGGAAATGATGTAGAGACATTGTCACCTGTAAAGAAATGGTTGTCACAGTATTTTGATATGAAGGACTTGGGAGAAGCTAGTTATGTTTTGGGAATCCGTATCTTGCGAGATAGGAAAAACAGAAGGATTGCATTATCCCAAGCTTCATAAATTGACAAAATATTGTCCAGATTTGCAATGCAGAATTCCAAAAAGGGAGAACGTCCTTTTAGACATGGAATTCATCTATCTAAAAAGCACTGTCCCAAGAATGCAACGGAGATAGATTACATGAGAAAGGTTCTTTATGCTTCGGCTGTGGGAAGTCTCATGTATGCAATACTTTGCACTAGACCTGATATTTGTTATGCTATAGGTATTGTTAGTCGTTATCAGTCTAATCCAGGACCAGAACATTGGGTAGCGGTAAAGCATATACTCAAGTATCTTCGAAAAACGAGAGATTATATGCTTGTCTACTCAAGACATGATCTAAATCCTATTAGATATACTGATTCCGATTTTCAATCCGATCGTGACTCTAGGAAGTCTACATCGGGATCAGTATTTACACTGGGAGGTAGAATATATAGCAGCTTGTGAAGGCATAATATGTAGCGGCTTGTGAAGCTGCTAAAGAAGTTGTATGGTTCAAGAAGTTTCTTTTGGACCTTGACGTGGTACTTTTGGCAATGGAGCCCATAACGCTTTATTGCGATACTAGTGGGGCGGTTGCCAATGCTAAAGAACCAAGGAGTCATCAGCGTGACAAGCACATCGAGAGAAAATATCACCTTGTTAGAGAAATTGTTCATCGAGGAGACGTGACGGTTAATAAGATTGCATCAACAAATAATCTTACGGACCCATTCACTAAGACCTTATCAGGTAAGGATTTTGATGGACATCTTAAGAGGATAGGTATTTTTGATATGTCACACATTCTCTAAGAAGGGCAAGTGGGAGATTGTTAGTTTGATGCCCATTCTTCGAGTAATGTTCTGTAAAATCACATTATGAATTTATGTTCGTTTATTTGTGTATTATAATTTGAAGTGATTGTCTAAGGTTCCATGATCATATAGGATGTCACAAATTGTATACTCGATGGATCGGGTATAGTAAGACACAATTTTTGATATGATCAAAATTATGTCGTTCACAATCGGTTCATAAAATTGGACGCTTTATGTTGATAAGATTGTATTGTTCTTATTAAGATTTGTCTAGATCTTGAAATAACAACAATAATGTGTTTCGATGCACATTGAACGGGGCCGCGTAGATGACTCATTTGTGACCGTTTGAAATGAGACTCTACTTGATTATCAAATAGGTCGCCTAAATCCTGAGTGAGTAATGTACCTTTGATTGCTAGTTCAAATTCTTTGAGGTACCAATGAGTGAAGTCTTAAATGGAAGATTGATCTCAGTGCTTTGGGAATCGAGTTGAAACAATTAGAGATCATATACTTACAATATTGGAATCCATTAATCATTGAGATGAGACGATCTTCACTCTAAGGTATTTTTCTAGGCAAATTGAATCTGAGCTCAATAGGTCGATGATGAGATCGTTGGACTTTACATTGTGATTTGATCACAACGAATTTGCACTATTAAAATGTGACTTAGAGGATAATACATGTTGAAGGGCAAAACAGTCATTTTGCCAGTTTCACTATATTGACGGTCAAATGAGGGTTGATTTGTGGAACGACAATCAGAGGATATTGTTATTGGATCATAATTTGCTTCTATAACTATCACTTGACTCGAAAGTGCAATCTCGATTTTTTTGTAGAATAAGTCGGGATTAATAGATGTATCTCCATTGGTCAAGCGTTAACCCAATTGAAAACATCTATTGGAGCTTGGGTCATGTGAGTCCAATTAGGTCCCTCTCTTGGCTCCAATAAAAGGTGTGTGACTTAATTGGCCTACTACAATAAAGTCTAAGAAAATTTGTGCAATTTCCAAACCCTAATACGTCATTATAAATATGCACTTTATTGGCATATTTTAAATGAGATTTTAGGGTTAGCCACTTTTCACATTCCCTACAAAGGAATTACACCTAGTGGAGAACAAGGGAGAAGATTTAAGGGAGGAAGCAATTGGCTAAGCCATTAATAGCTCCTTCAAAAAGGTTATCATCTCCCCTTTCTATATATGTGAGGATTTTATAATCCAATGATCTCAAGGTCAATTAAATTCTTATTTACATGATTTCAATCTTCAAAGGAAAACTAATTTTCTATTGTGATGATTAAAAATCATTAACCAACATTGATAACTTGCCAAAAGTAGCGTGTGGACTTCTCCAGGTGATCACTCCAACGTGAGAATAAGTAGGGGAAGAAGCATGAAATATTGCAAATGCATAAAATGACTAAATGTCATCACCTTGCTTGAGGTAGATATCAAATCATTTGGATAAGCGCGATCATATAAATTCCCTGTTCGAATTGCAATTTTGTTAGCAACAACGGACTATCAACAACCAATCCTAGATCTGAATGATTGCCAGTTTATTCAATATGTTGTATATTGATGTTGTTCAAAACCAATCAAACAAGTGTTAAACGAAAAAACCAAAACTGGAGGCCGGTAAATGGCCTATGCGGTCGTATAGGCTTGCGGTCACATTTCAAATTGCAGGGCCATCATGAAATGATTTATGCAGCCGCATAAAACAAAATTGTAGCTGTTAGTGGCCATTGTCATTTGAATTTTGGTGGCTTTTCATGTGATTTTGGCACCAATTCGTGGAGACTCGTTTGAGACCTATATATATGTGATTGATATTCATTACAATACACAAGAAATATCAATATTGTGATCACAATTTTGTTTCACAAAAAAGCAAAAGATTTCTCTTTAACATATTAAAAATTCCTATTTCACATTCTCGAGTTTTGAAGGATTATACCTAGTGCTTAAGTGTTAAATCCTTGACAAGGCTTAGTTAATCATGCAACCCATTTGCTAAAATCCTATAAGCACTAAATTCAATCCGAGAGGGGGCAAATATCATTGGAGGACAACGATTACGTATTCGGGCCTTTTCATCTTCATTTTTTTCCTCATTATTGTTATTGATTTCTCGGTTTTATTCTTTTTTTATTCTCCATTCCCTTTTGTGAAAACATTATTTCCAACATACTCAAACGATATTTTGTAATGTAGAATGAAAATACTATGGCGACAATCAAGTTAATGAATCAGGACCTTGTTTGATTTGATCGCTTTAATGGCACCAACTTCACGAGATGGCAAGACATTTTGAAATGTCTACTCAAGGTGTTGAAGATATTTTATATACTTGATCCATAATGGGCACCGCTATTGGAACCTACAAATGGAGAAACGGATGCCATAAAAGTCGGAAGACAAAAGCGCCAAGAAAATGAACTTATATGTCGTGACCATATTCTCAATGCTCTATCAGATAGGCTGTATGATCTCTACACCAACACATCAACAGCAAAGGAAATATAGAATGCTTTGAAAAGTAAGAACATATCCCAAGAAGAAGGTACTAAGAAATTTTTAATTTCAAAGTACTTTGATATAAAAATTTCTTAAAAATATTTCCCTTCTTTCCCAAATTCATGAATTACAAGTCCTTATCAACAAGTTGAAGGCGGTCAAAATAGAAATTCCGAAAACTTTTCAAGTGGAAGTAATTATTGCTAAACCCTTTGGAACTTGAAAAGGATATCCGAAAAAAATAATGCATAATTCCAAAGATTATTCTTTAGAACAATTGCAAAAACATCTTCGAATAGAGAGAGTTTAGGGCAAGAGATAAGAACGACAATTCTTATGAAAGCATTTCAAAGGTCAATGCCATCGAGAAGAACAAGCCTTCTAATAAAACAAGAGAAAGCCTTCAAGAAACTTTAGCAAGTCCAAGAAGGAGCAAATAGGGTTGTTTCGTATGTGGAAAACCTAGACATTATGCAAATGAATGTCGACATCGGAAAAGAAAAAACTCCAAAGGAAAGATGAACTCCATCAAGGAAGATAACATTGTGGTTCCCATAAGTGAGATCAATACTATCGAGGGAAAGGTTCATATGATAAATCATTGTTCAAAATATATTATGAAGTTGATGGAGATCAAGAAATTTAAATGGGTAACGAAGTTCGATCCAAAGTAATTGGAAAATGAAATGTAGAGATCATTTTCACTTCCGGCAAAACAGCTACATTAGCCAATTGTTACATGTTTTTGACATGAATAGTAATTTCATTAGTGATAATCTCTTAGGAAAATCAGGTATAAAAATGTGTTTATGAGTCCGGCAAACTTGTACTATCCCTAAATGAGAAATTTGTTGGACAAAGCTATTCTTGTGAAGGAATTGTCAAATTATGTACTGTTGACAAAATGATTAATAATAAAGTTGATTTTTCTTATATTGTTAATCCATTTACTTTATGGCATGCTAGACTATG